CAGATCTTGGCTTTGTCACACTCTGGCTGGGCAGCTCTAAGTGAGTGGCTACAGGAGAACCAGGGTTCCACCTTTGGCGACTGCCACAGAGGTAGGAGGGAGCAAAGGGGCCACTAAGGCAAGGGCCCAGAGGAAGGCTGGGTCTATCATAGTATGATGGGGGTGGGCTGTTCTCCACCTGGAGGGCTGGAAGGGAGTGGGGGCCCAAAGAGGCATTTGAGCTGAGGGAGTGTACCCAGGGTGCCCAGGGTCTCCATCCCTGGAGAACCACATCACTGATAGCTGCTCCCTAACCCTGGGATTGCACAATAAAGACAGTTCACTTGTCTCTGCCTCTAAGAACTCGTGCCAAAGCTGTGAATAGGAATGATTAGGCATGCCTGTAGTGCCATGAGACAGGGTGACTTGGAGGCTAGCCTGGGTTACATAGTAAAACTTGCCAGGGAAAAAAAAGTGGGTCATTAAGATAGTTCAGTGGTAAGTTGCTTGCTACCAAGCTTGACCCACCTGAGTTATACACTCAGAAACAACTCCCACAGGTCATTCTGACTTCACACCTGTGATGTGCAGACACAGGCGTGCACATACAGAAATAAAAACAATAAATAAATGTAAAGAATGTCTAATGGGAAGCTGGGGACATAGCTCAGTTGTACAGCACCTACTCAGCATGCACAATGCTGTGGGTGCCACCACTAGCAGCACATGAACTGTATTTGTGGCACACCACTGTCACAGCATAGCATTTGCAGGCCATCCTCTGTTACAAGATGAGTTTGAGGTTAACTTGAGTTACACTGAGACCCTTGTATCAAAAGAGTCAGAGCAGGACTGACTGCCACCAGGTGGTTCTCTTTTGGACCACCCAGCTGGGCAAGGTGGAGACTCATGACCTAAAATTTGGCAAGGCACTGAGGTCATGCTGGGTGGGGCCTGTTTACACCTAACCATCCGGCACATAATACACTCTGCCTCTACACTCGGGGTAGGGACTGGCTCTCCTACCTTCCAACCGTGCAGCAAAGGGCCAGGGAAGGCGCCGGGCCTGCTCTACGCTGTGTTCTGCATGGGCTCCCCCACCCCCCATGCTGCAGCTCCACTTACTTTTCTTCCGCTTTGGCTTTTTGGGGACTTGCTCCCAAGGCTTCCTGCAACACAGAGAGGTGGTGAGGGTGAATTTGGGGCCAAGGATTGGGCCAAGTCCTGGCCTGGTAGAAAATGACAGCAGTTCAACTGCTCTGGGATAGAATCTGAACTTATGCTGTCCTGTTCCCTTTCCTTGGTTTGGGTAACTGAGAACATTAGTGCTCAGGCAGATGGGGCATGGAGGAGTGGAAGGAATGCTAAGCTGGCTCCCTGATTCCTACCCTGTGGGGCACATGCTGTGTATTCAGAGTCAGCCACTGTATCCACAAACTCTACCAACCATCAACTGTCAATGTTGCTCAGAAGTGGTAGGTGCACACCTGTCTCTCAGCACTCAGAAGGCAGATGTGGGAGGCTCATGAATTTGAGGCCAGTCTGAACTATCAAGGCCAGCTTAGGTTATATAGGGAAACCCTGCTTCAAAAAGAAAAATAAAAAAAAAATAGTAGGAAGAAAATATTGGAGCAATTGCTTATCAAGCACAAAGCCCAGGGTTCCTTTCCCTGAACCAAATAAACCCTCTGTGGTAGCTCACACTACAATCCCAGCACTCAAGAGAGCTGCAAGTTCCTCTCTCCTGACTTCCCAGTGCCTACCCTTACTCCTCATGCTCAATGTAGGAGTCTGATTTTTAAAGTAATCTGTGATACACTTATTTATAGAGGCAGGGAGTGTGCCATAGTGCTTGTGTATGGAGAACAGAGGATAACTTGCAGGGGTCAGTTTTCTCCTACCACATGTGTCCTGGGGATCAACTAAGGTCATTAGGCTTGGGAGCAAATGCCTTCCTCTGAAAAGCTGTAATTACAAACACACAATGATCTAGAGCTTCATGCATGATAAGAGAGGTAATGGAGCCACATGTCAACTAGTGTTTATGTGTGTGTACCGGAAATGCTGGGGTTTTCACGTATTAGGAACTCCACCATCAAGCACTTAGTCATATACCCCTTGCTTCTGGCTGATTACTACCCCACACAATCAAAGCAGTTTTTTGTTTTGTTTTCCCTTTTGAGATGTGGCCCTGGCTGTCCTGGAACTCAGTATGTGCACCAGGCTGGCCTCCAGCTCAGAGAAACTCCATCTGTATCTGCCTCCAAAGTGCTGGAATTAAAGGCATGTGCCACTATGCTTTTTAAAAATGATTTTGTTATTTCATGTGCATAAGTTTTTGCCTGCATTTATGTCTGCTGCCCATGGAGGTCAAGAAGAGGGTACTGAATTCCTTGGAACTGGAGTTACAGATGGTTGTAAACCACAGTGTGGGTACTTGGAACCAAACCCAGGTCCTCTGTAAGAGCAACAAGTGTTCTTTACCACTGAGCCACCTCTCCAGCACCCAGAATCAGACAAATGAATGCAAACAAAGATGCACTGTGACTCCCCACTGAGAGTCTAACCCTTCTAAGCTCTGAGTTTTTATTTTGTATTTTTACTTGAGAGACAGGGTATTATGACATATCCCTGACAAGCTGGAACTGTCTGTGCAGACCGAATAGTTAATATCAAACCAGGTGTTCACAACATGCTATAGTTGACTGGGGCAGCTGAGGCTGGAGGTTCAGGTTGAGCTTTCTCTCCATGGCTCCACTGCAGCCTCTTTTTCACTGCAGGTGTCCTCGCATTACAGGACAAGCAGTGGTAGCCTCTGCTGGAAGCACCCACCTAGGGTTTTTACTCTAGGGCTGTTGTGCACTTTTCTTCTCTTCCTGTCACTGAGCTAGAGGGCCACCCTGCCCTAGACAAAGAGTGTTGGAGGACACTGAGACAAACATGCTTGGGTCTCAAATATTGGGGGGGGGGCTTCTAAGTATGGGCAAGCAGCACATAACAATTTACCAACATATGAACAACTACAGTGTAGTGAAACATTTATGATCCCTAGAACACATATGGTAGGTGAGAACTACACATGACTGTTCTTTCATCTACCCCTGTGGGCCTGCACACATCACACACACACACACACCTAAATAAAATTTAAAAAGAAATAATAAATAAATAAATAAATGTCTTAAAAGAGCCCTCATGGTAAGCCTGATGCATGTCTTTAGTCCCAGCACACAGGATGGGCAGATCCTGGAGTTCCAGTCCAGTCTGGTCTACAGAGCAAGTTGCAGGACAGCCAGAACTACATAGAGAAACCCTGTCTAGTAAAACCAACCAACTAATAAATAATTTAACCACCCCTAAGCCCGGTGGCTCTTGGGGAGCAATTCTGCCCTGGGAAAGTCCGACAAAAAAGAAGCGCCTAGTTAACTGGCATAACGGAGAACCAGAGTCCTCAAGTAGAGAAGGGGCAGGCTGGGTGGAGATTCCTTCCCCCTTCCTGCTGACTTTATAGGTAATCCCAGGCAAGGGAGATGAAACAGCTGGCTGAGTAGTAGTTACCACACCTTTCTGCACTTGCAGAGGACCGGACTTGGTTCCCAGCGCCCACATGGTGGTTCACAACCATCCCAAACTACAGTTCCAAGGGATCTGACACCCTTTTCTGACTTCCGCAGGCAATAGGCATGCACGTGGTATACATACATGCAGACAAGGTACACGCAAAAAACTAGAGTGCCTTAGCACTCACAACTGTCAGACGCCCCAACCGAGGCCATTGGGGAGGGGCTGGTCTTCAGGATGGGCCAGTCAGAGCTCTTGGAGGCGGGTAGAGGGGCGGGGCAAGGCTTGCATTGGACAGTCAGCAGGCCGGAGGCGGCGCGTGAGGGGTCTGGGCGGCCTGAGCCTGAGACCTAGGCCAGTTTGGTGGCCCTGGGGCGGGGCCTCGAGGTCCGGGGGCGGGGGCCGCGCTCTCCCCGCCTCTCCCTCCATCCCTCCCTTTCCCGTGGCCCGCGCCCCCTCACCCGTGGCGACCGCTACGCTGGCCGCGCTCCAGCGAAATGAGGTAGGCGGCGAGTTTGGCGTCGCTCCAGCCGCTGCGCCGCCTCAGGTCCACCCAGGGGCCGTGCGCCTCGCCCAGGTACACGCGCCGCACGTCGTACTTCTTCCGGGACTCGAGCCGCCTCCGGGCCCGGTCCGACTCTGTGAGCCGCGGCCGGCCCCGCGCCTTCCGGCCCGCCGCGCCCTCTTCTGCCGCCGCCTCCTCTCCTGCGCCCGCCTCCGCCCCGGGCTCTGGAGCCCGTTCCGCCATCCCCCCCACCCTGGTTACCGGCCTCCCCCGTTGTTAGGAGCCCCGACCGGAAGTGGCGCGCCTAGCCTGCGCCGTCGGGATATTTTTTACAGGTTCTTCACTGCCCGCGGCGCCAAACAGGACACAGCTAGCCGAGGCTGCGCATGCGCGGCCCAGGGAGGTACACTCCAGTTAAACTGCTACTTGGGAAGTGGAGATAGTAGGATCCCGGAACTCATGGTTATCTTCGGCTGTCTCTTGAATTGTAGAGCAATGTCGGCGACATAACACTATCTTAAAAAACTTTTTTAGGGCTGAAGAGATGACTCAGGTTAAGAACACTGGCTTCTCTTCCAGAGGTCCTGAGTTCAATTCCCAGTATCCACACAGTGGCTCACAACTATCTAAAATGAGATCAGGTGCCCTCTTCTGGTGTGCAGGAATGCATGCAGGCAAAACATTGTATACATAATAATTAAATCTTTTAAAAATATTAAAGAATTTTTTAAAGGCCAGCAAGATGGCTCTACAGGTAAAGGCTTCCAAACCTGACAATCTGAGTTCCATTTGCAGACTCAAAAGGTGGAAAGACAGAACCGACTCCAACAAGTAGTCTTTTGACCTGCACACACCCTTCCCAAACCATGAATACATAAACGGAATGTTTACAGATGAACAAAAAAGGAGTGTCCCAGGAAGGTGGAGCCAGATGAACTCACTCATTCATAACATCTGAAGGAAAGCTACATGGCCAGAGAAAAGGGTTTTATTTTGTCCATATTATTTTGTACCAGTCCAATTTCTGTACAGCTCATGCCAGCTCAGACTCAACTCTGACCCTGCTGAGGCTGTGTCTGAAGGCCCTCATCTTCCTCCTGGCCCTTGGGAGGACCGTCGGGAGGGGACTGGCCCTCCAGCCTTGAGGTTGTCAGCAGCTCCCCTGTGGACCTGGCCAGGCGAAATACCACAGGGATCTGTGCCAGGGTTGGGTTGGTCTCCTGCAAGCCCTGGATCCACTTGACCAGTGTTGCCTGGTCATGGGCACCAGCCATGCACATGGCGAAGACAGGGCCTTCTGTCACTGTAGGAGAGAGGAGCATGCCCTCACCACCTTGAGGGACTGGGACCCTGAGTTCATGAGCACCACCATGCATTCACAGAGCAGCCCCCTACATGCATGTTCTCCATTTTACCTGGGCCATGCTACTTGCTTCTTCAGATGCTATAGGGAAAGCTGACTTTGACTCCAAACCTGGAGGCCGCCATGTGCCCCAAATAACTTGACTGTTCCCTACTGACCTGAGGCTTGCATCTGTCCTGATCATGTCACTAGTCAGTATAGAATGTTCCACAAAATATATTAAGGGGAGGGGCAGTGACCAAGGAGGACAGGTTCCCCAGGGCCACATGACCCCTGATTGTATGGAGACTGGGGGAAGTAGGCAGTGTCTTAACCTGTGGTCCCAAGGATGAGCTATGCTGAGTCCTGCTTTTACCTTCATCCAGGTCAAACTCATAGTTGTCCCAGCCGCTCCTTGAATATTCCAGGTCCAGCTTCATTGGGTAATAGAGATTCCATTCTTCTGGGATTTCCTCTACATTCTACCTCAGGCAAGAGAGAGAGCAAGCAGGTTCAGGGGCCAGAACACAACCCCAGCTCCTTATCTGAGCCTTCAGGATTTGCCAGACCACCTACCCTCCCATCCATCCCTTCTTTTTAAGACAGACTATGTAGTCCTGGCTAATCTGGAACTCACTGCGTACACCAGGCTGGCCTTGAACTCACACTGATCCACCTGTCTTTGCCTCCTGAGTGCTGGAATTAGAGCTATGTGCCACTATGTTTTTAAAATTACATTTATTTATGCATACCCCTCACAGGAGTCAGTTCTTTCCTTCTGTCATGTGGGTTCTGGGGATGTAACTCACCTCTTCCTCTGGGAGTGGCAGATCAGCTCTCAGGATATGATAATAAACACACTTATTGCGCAGCCAGAGAGGGAAAGGGCCCTCAACAAAAACAGGCTTGGATGGGTTGTGGCGGGCCAGGGCAGCTTGCTGATCAGGACTCTGAATTCCTGGTGTAGAGATGAGAACCTATTGATGCTTTAGCAGCAAGGGGCCCAGGAGTTCATTCAGTGGGCCCAGAGGGGTACGACCGAGCGTGGGACAGGCTGGGGTCTTACCTACAATGTGGGGCTGGATGGGATCTATGCCTGTGGACTCACTGGGCAAAGACATCTGCAAGGAAGAGCAGGGGTGCAAGAAAGTGTGACTCCCCAACATCTACAGGCAGGCAGAGAAAGCAAAGGGAAAGAGGATGCCAGTACATCCTGAACAACTGTACCGCTCCCTACATGTTACTAAAAGTGGCCCCTTCCTCTTTCTTTGTAGCCAATCTAGCCAGAGCTGTCAACATTGAGCCTACCCTGAAGGGACCTTGGAGCCATCCAACTAATGTTCAATCTGCAGGGACCTCATCCAAGTTACTGTACCTCTATAGTTCTGTTCATCATGTGCAGAAATGCCAGTAAGAGTTTTTCAGATGGGACTTGGCTCAGTTGATGAGTGTTTGCCTAGCATACTGCATAAAGACAGGCCTCTCTTTTTGTCACAGTACTAGGAATGGAACCCCATGCCTTACCACCAAGCCATAACCCATCCCTCGCTAGGGGATGAGGCAAAGGCTCTGTTTGTAGCCCCAGCTGACTCCTTCTGTAGACCAGACTGGCCTTGAACTCACTGAGATCCACCTGCCTCTGCCTCCCAAGTACTGGGATTAGAGGTGTGTGCATCACGACAGCTAGCTGCTCTTTTCTTTACCAAGTATCTGGCTTCTGGTATTCTGCTAAAGAACCAAAGGATACGAATACACCTGACACAGAGGAAGATAGGTCCAACTGTGGTAATAAGGAAGGGCCATGAGCATTGCTGAAACACTGGGTGAGTGAAGGAGAGCCCAGGGAGCAATAAAGTGGTCAACCAGGGATGGTAGTAGCTACAGGAACCAACAAGAGAACATACCTGGTAGACAGTGACCTTGGCACTGAGGTCAGGCTCCATGTGTCGCAGGCTTAGCTTGGCCAGGTCCAAAGGGTCCTGGGGCAGATCTCGGGGCACAGGGTAGGGGTTGATATTCTTGAAGCGGGTGAGCCACAGCTTCATCCGCAGGAACTTGAGCATGGGATAACTTGTGCGTCCAAATATCTGAGTCAGCAGGAACTCTGTCTCTGTGTTGGGCATAACTCCTGTGCTGGGCAGATCCGGCAGAGCCCCAGAGGCAGGGTATGATTAGCCAGAAGTTTACAGTCAGGAAAGACAGCAGGAAGGGAGAGTAGAATAAAGGGAATTTATTTTTCATGATATTTGTTTTCTTATTTTGAGACAGGGTCTGACCATCTGTGTAGGCCCTGGCTGTCCTGGGGTTCTGTGTGTAGAACAGAGATCTGAGGTGTGACTACCACACCCGGCCCATCAGTGTTTTGTTTGAAGCAGGGGCTGGGAATGGGGTGTAGCTGAGTACAGTGCTGGTGTGGCATACACAGCTCCAGAATTGACTTTACCATATAAAGAGCACAGCAGCACTGGGCGGTAGTGGCACATGCCTTTAGTCCCAGCACTCGGGAGGCAGAGGCAGGTGGATATCTGTGAGTTCAAAGTCAGCCTGGTCTACAAGAGCTAGTTCCAGGACAGCTTCCAAAGCCACAGAAAAACCCTGTCTCAAAAAAAAAAAAAAGTAGGGGGGGCAGAGCAGCACATGGCTGTTATCCCAGCACTCAGAACATGAGGCATAAATCAGGAGTCCAAGGCCAGACTTGGCTACACAGCACAGCAAATTCAAGACCAACCTGGGCTACATAAGACCATGTAAAATGTATATGTTGGGGACAGGAGTCCAAAGTCAGCCTGGATTACATGAGACAATGTAAAATGTATGTGCTGTGGAAAAAGGGCTAGGCAGGGTGGCTTTTAGTCCCAACACTTGGGAGGCAGAGGCAGGTGGATCTCTGTGTGGTCGGTCGAGGTCAGCCTGGTCTACAGAGCTAGTTCCAGGACAACCTCCAAAGCAATACCAAGAAACCCTGTCTTGAAAAAAAAAAAAACAAAAAAACAAAAAGGGCTACAGAAAGAAATGGCTCAGCATTAGGAACATGGACCGTACCACCTTTAGCTCCAATTCCAGGGTATCCAACACTCTCTTGTGGCTTCCTTGGACATGTACCCTCACACACTCGCTGATACACAGCGTACATATAATTAAGAATAAATCTTAGATCCCCCCCCCCCAAGAAAAAAAAGCTGGACATGGGAGCACATGCCTTTAGTCCCAGCACTCAGGGACTAAACCAGGCCAGAAGGGGAGCTGGGCCCAATTCACTCACCGTGTCGCTCCATCTGCTCCAGGACTGCAATCCCACACTCCTGCTGCCGTGGATAGTGGACGAAGATGCGTTGGATAATATTGCGGGGCCGGAAGACCTCCTTGGGGAAGACATCCAGCAGCAGGTTGTACACTGACAGGTCCCGCTCCACACCGAACTCTGGCATCTTGCGCAACGCTAGGTAGATGAAGTCCACATGTCCACGCTTACGCACGCTGTGCTCCCCAAAGCTGCGCACTGCACGTAAGAAGCTTGCCTTGTCCTGCTCCCCGTTTGCCGATGGCGTGAACAGTTCTTCATGGAGAACTGGGACCTTGATGGGCTTCCTCTGGGGCTCGGGAGGTTGAGGAACCAACCACACGTCATCCCTGTGTATAACTGCACTGCGATGGAGCCCTCGTGCGGCCTGGAGGGACACCTGGGAGAGCATAGATGCTGCTTAGCTTTTCTGGCCCAGGGGCCCTTGGACATCATGCAGGGCCTCTGAGGAGCTCTGACACTGGCCTCTAACCCTAGCTTTGTACCATGACAGAATACTCTACACCTGAAATTCCAACCCCCAGAAGGCTGACAGAAGAATTGAGATTTCAAGACTAGCTTGAGCCACACATCATATTCTAAGGCCATTTGGTATTATATATATCCTGTCACACACACACACACACACACACACACACACACACACACACACACAATCCAAAACTATACACACTGTTGTGGTTTGAATGAGAAATACCCCATAGGCTCGTATTTGATCACTTGGTCTCTAGTAGGTGCTTTTGGATTTTGGAACCTTTGGGAACGGGAGCCTTACTGGACAAGTATGTCAGTGGAGGTAGCTTTGAGGATTTATAGCTTCAACCAATTTACAGTTTACCCTCCTCTTCCTATGTGTGCTTGAGATGTGACCTTAGCATCCTGCTCTGGCCAACTGCTGCCATGCCATCACTGTCTGTACTCACCCTCTGAGACCTTAAGCCCAAATCCCTTTAAGTTGCTTTTGGTCATTTACCTTTAGTACAGCAATGGTAAAGTAACTAACACAGCGGCTGTCAGCAGGACGGGAGGCCAAGATCCTGAGAGGGTGAGTGTAAAGCCCAGGCCTTTCCCCTCCACTCACAAGTCCCTAGCCTGTGGTTACCTGAGCAGGAGCTCCTGAGAGGGCAGTACTGCAGATGCCTCCCCAGCCCCTGGACAGGCCTCGGGCCAGCAGGCTGGCCTGGACCCAGCTCATGCCTCAGCAGATTCAGCCGCCCTAGTCAAGAGAAGTTGAAACCGCATTAGCCAGGCACCTGTAAGACGGCATTTCTGTGATAAAGAGCACACTCAGACCCAAGAGCCTAGTCTACCAAGCCCCAAGTGTTCATTTTTGATTTTGTTTTTGAGATAAGAGTATCATATAGCCCAGGCTTGCTTCAGATTTACTATGAACTAAGGATGGCCTTAAACTCCTCCACTTTCCAAGTGCTGAGATTACAGATGTAAGCCACCAAGCCTGACAATTTTTTAAATTAAATGTGTTGATTTATTGTGTGTGTTTGTGCCTACCTCATGCATCCACTATACATGCAGTTGTGTGGAGGTCAGGGGATAGCGTGGAGAGACGGTTCTATCCTCCACCACGTGAGTTTTAGAATTAAACCCAGTTGTTCAGGCTTGGCAGCAAGTACCTTTATATAACAAGTCATCTCACTGGCTCATACCTGGCAGTTTTTCATTTTTTCCCAAGACAGGGTTTCTCTGTATACATCAGGCTGGCCTCGAACTCACAGAGATCCACCTGCCTCTGCCTCCTGAGTGCTGGAACTGAAGGTGTGTGCCACACTTCATTTTTTTCTCAAGATGTGTCTTTGTGTGTACCTGTACACAGGTGTACAGGCCACATTACTTTTGTGGAGGCCAGAGGACAACTTTTCAGTAGTCTCCTACCACACTGTATGAATGCCGAGACATCTGGCTTTTTAAAAACCCTCTAAATTACTTTTATTTTAAATTTATGTGTATGATGTATTGCCTGCATGTATGTCTGTATACTACATGCACACCTAGTACCATGGAGGTCAGGAGGAGGATTTGGATCCCTGGAATTAGAGTTAGAGATGTGACTACCATGTGAGTGCTGGGAATCAAACCCTAGAAGAGCTCTTAATGGCTGAGCCATGGTCTTACTGGGTGACCATAGCTGGCCTAGAAGTTGCTCTGCAGACTGGCCTCCAGCCTCACAGAACTCCCCACCTCTATCTTTCAAGGGTTGGAATTAAAGCATGCAGGACCAGTTTTTGAGAGTCTTTCATTGAACAGCTAGATTGGCTGACCAGTGAGCCCCAAGGATGCCCCTTTCTCTGCCTCCTTCAGCTTTAAAAAGAAAAAAGGCTTGAACACCATGGTTAAGAGAAAGTAAGGTCCATTTAACCACAGGTGTGATTTAAGACAAAATTATAAAAAAATAAAAACAAAAAAACCCCACCCTTGTTTGTGCATTCCTGAGTATATACAAACAAATGTGCCATGATACCAGCACAGAAGTGTACTTGTAGAATTCAGTTCTTTCCTTCCACAATGTGGGTTCTGGGGATCATACTCAGGTCCTCAGACTTGGCAGCAAGCACTTTTTACCCAGTGAGCCATCTCTCCAGTCTCATCTCTTTTTCACCCTGGGTATTTGAAATAGAACTTAAGTGGTCAGGCTCATGCAGGTACTTACCAACTGAACTTTCTCTATGGCGGCTCTATTTCCTTCTCCTGCCTGAGTGCTACTGCTGGAAGCTGTGGTTGTGACACCAAGATATGGCCAAACTGCGCACCCTTGTCTGCCTCCTGACTCTGGCAAAAGAGTCTAATCTCTCACTGGGCATGGTGGTGCAGGTCTTTAATCCCAGCACTCAGGAGGCAGATCTCTGAGTTCAAGGCCAGTTGTGGAGGGCACAGCTTACAGATAGCACTAGAGAAGAAAGCAACTGATACATTTTCCATCCAGAAGGCCTTGAGTGGGTGTGTCAACACCTGGTAATGTTAGCTATTCTGTAAAGCCAGCCTTCACCCAATCCTCAAGAATCCTGAGCCCATCCTCATGAAAGAGGTTACATGTGATTTGCAAAAGTTGCAAGTATGCTTGTTCCTCTCAGACTCCTAAATGTTAACAGAACCCATCCTTTGCTAGGCAGTGGTGACTCACGCCTCAAATCCCAGCACTTGGGAGACAAAGGCAGGAGGCCAGTCTGGTCTACAAAGCCAGTTCCATAACATCCAGGGCTACATAAAGAAACCCTGTTTTGAACCCCTCCTCCTCCTCCAAATCCATCATGCTTATTACAAACCCTTCCTCCCTAGGCCCTTGTTCTGAGCACTGTTCTAAGTCCAAGTGGGAAAGGTCACAGGGGCTTTGCTATAAAGATGCACTTTGCAAGGGAGTTTCTATGTAGTAGTCATGCCTAAAGCTTTGTCATGATAAGTGTCACATGACATGTAAACTTTATTTTTACAAAGTTTTACGGTGTTTAAATGTGTAAGAAATAAACCACTTGGCGTTAGACTCCAGAAGTTTGGACCCAGCACCAGTTAAATTGTGCTGATCTAAGTTTCATTCTTTTTTGTTTTTTTTTTTTTGTTTGTTTGTTTGTTTTGTTTTTCAAGACAGGGTTTCTCTGTGGTTTTGGAGTCTGTCCTGGTACTAGCTCTTGTAGGCCATGCTGTTCTTGAACTCACAGAGATCCTCCTTCCTCTGCCTCCCAAGTGCTAGGATAAAAGGCTTCACCACTGCCAGCCTGTTTCATTCTTAACCTCATCCAGATCATCTTGCTGTTAGTAGTGACACTTGCAGGGACCCACATAGCCAGCCTGTTCTACACAGTGAGACCTTGTCTCAAACAAATAAAAACAGTAAGAGTTTTCTGCATTGTCTGAAATAATCATGTAATTTGGGGGTTTTGTTCTATCAATATATTACATAAAATTTCAGATATTAAACTACCCTTGCATTTTGGAGATACATTCTCTTAGCCATGATGTAGAATGCTTTTTGAATGTTTGCAAACCCACTGCAAGAGAACTTTACAGCTTTATTCAGGAGGCACTGGTTTGCAGTTTTCTTAGTGTACCTGTGGGGTTCTGGTGTCAGGGTATCCAGGCCTCAGACAACATTTTAGGAAGAGTTTCATCATCTTTGCTACCACAGAAAATTTCTGGAGGCGGGTGTGGTGACATAAGCCTGTAACCCTGGCACTTGGGTAGAAGGTCCCCCTACCTTAGATACATAGCAAGTATGAAGCCAGCTAGGGCTATGTGTAAACCTGCCTCAGAACACAGGGAAAGAAACAAACAGACAAAAGCCTGAAAACAAAACAGAACAATACCTGGGGAGCTAACAAAATGGCTGAGCGGGTAATTCCATGTCTGACAACTGGAATTCCATCCTTGGAATCCAGGGGGAAGGAGGAAAGAACTGACTCTCACAAATTGCAAAGTGCACACGTGCACACACACATAAACACAAAAAACTTTTGTCTAGTTGAGCCAGGCATAGTAATGTACTTTTAATCCCAGCATTCAGGAGGCAGAGGCAGGCAGATCTTAGTAAGTTCCAGGCCAGAACCTATTTAAGAAAAAACAAGCCTAGACTCCTCCAGTGAGCTGCTGGGGGCATGGCTCAGTGGTAGAGCCCCTGCCCTCCCCCAGTGAGGGGCTGATGGTGGAATACTTGCTTGGCATATAGTTTGATAAGAAGGACCTAAACCTTTGCTTTGCAAATTGTTCCAGGACCTGTAAAATGTTGATTCTTAACATGGAACACACACAATGCATGGACATATGCATTGTGACAGCCATAGGTGGCTCCTACATGTATTAATCAGAGTAGTGAATACTTCTGCTCATGGTTCCCATACCTAAACATAACTTTGGTAAAAACCAGCCAACTCAAGCTCCGTTCACAGGACACCAACAGACATACCTTTGACCTGGAGGTTAGCCAGGGTCACCACCCTTCCTTGCTATTCATGCCACAAAGAAGGAGGCATTTAGAGTACACCATGTCCTTATTCAGTGTGTCTAACAGTCCTGGAGACCATACCCAAATCTGTCCCCTGTGCTGCACATCACAGCACAAGTGTGTGCTCTGCTCTCCTGTATGGGTGTCCACCCTCTCCTGCACAGGCAGTCACTTCCCTCCGTTGGAAAAGAAAGCTTTAAAAAGGGAAACTAAGTGGGCTGGAAAGATGGCTTTATTGGTAAAATGCTTGCCCTGAAAGCCTGAGGACTTGAGTTTGATCTCCAGTACCCACATAAAAAGCCAGGTGAGGTGACATGCATTTGTAATTGCAGCACTGGGGAAGCAGAAATGGACAGGTTCCCTGAACTCTCTGACCAGCCAGCCTAATCAGTGAAAGACCCAGCCAGCTCAGCCAGCCTAATCAGTGAAAGACCTTGTCTCAAAGCACAAAAGTGGACAGCTCCTGAGGAAAACATCCAAGGTTGACAGTTGTCCTCCTATACACATGTGCATACATGTACATGCACTAACATACATACACACACCTACACATGAACACATAAAAATGCTGGGTGGTGATAGCACATGCTTGTAATCCCAGCACTAGGATGACACAGGCAAGCAGATCTCTGAGTTTGAGGTGAGCCTGATCTACATAGAAACAGCAAGTTCCAGACCAGCCATGGTACATAGTGGAACTCTGCCTCAAAAAAAAAAAAACAGACCTGCGACAAGGGTTGTGGCTGTAAAGCCAGCACTGTGGAGTCTGAGGCAGGAGGAATGCATCCAGTACAGGATCAGCTGATAGTAACTGCTCATGGCAGTCTAAACTGTAAATAAACAAGAGCCCAGACAGATGATTCAACTGAGAAAGGGACTTGCTGCTGGAACAATGCAAGCCTAATGACCAGAGTTCAACCCCGGGAACCAGTATAAGATTCATGGATAAAACTCCCTAGCTGTCCTCTGACCTCCACCATGCACTGCGGCACACATGTGTGACCCACCCCACCCCACCAACTAAAAATCTTAAAAGTAAATACCTATCAGAAAGGGGGTGATGGTGGTGGTGGTGAAGAGATGGCTCAGTGGTTAAGAGCACTGGCAACTCTTCCAAAGGATCACGGTTCAATTCCCAACACCCACACCGCTGCTCGCAACTGTAACTCCAATTCTAAGGAATCCAACAAACACCCTTACACAGGCAGGATATACATGAAATAAAAATAAATTAAAAATAAATAAACAGACATCAGATGGAGTCTACTTGCTGAACTGCCCCTATCCCTGTAACTCCAGCCACACTGTTTCTGAAACAAGACAAGTTTATTGGTCCCACAGGCTTTGAACTTGTTTTACCCTCTGCCTACTGCTTATCATCTTGGTACAGGCCTGTAATCCAGCACTCAGAAGGCTGGATGGAGCAGGAGGATCAAGAGTGGGGTACATAAAGACTCTTGTTTCATGGAACACACTGGTTGCAACAATCACTATTTGAAATCGCGAAATTACCTGTTCCGTCTGCGATTTGTTCAATAATTGGCTCTCTTTGACTATATATATATACATATATATACATACGTGCATATATGTGAGTGTATATATGTATGTATATATGTATACATACATACATATATATATATATATATATATATTTAATGTTTTTCTCATTGCTGTATCTTCACCAGCAGGGTAAGTGCCCAACACCGACCAACTGAGTGCAGATAAGCATTAAGTTCCTACAAAACACAGATAAAGCACTCGGGAGGCAGAGGCAGGCGGATCTCTGTGAGTTCGAGGCCAGCCTGATTTACAGAGCGAGTTCCAGGACAGCCAAGGCTTCACAGAGAAACCCTGTCTCGAAAAACCAAAACCAAAAAACACACAGATAAATCTGAACCGCGTGTGTATGTGGGCTGCCATGGATCCAGGTCTCCGAGAGACTGGAAGACGCAGGTCCAATGCCTGCCTCACCGCCTTAGTGCTGTGTGGCCTCTGATCTGGGCGAAACCGGACTGTTGAAGCAACCTTTCCTCGCGTGTCCCCAAGCATGAGCCCCCAACGGTCACGGTGCCCTCACCCTGAGGCCGAGTTGAAGGCTGTCCTTCAGGCCCTACCAGGCCTGGAAGTGGACGCCCTTGAACCCCAGATTGTCCCATCGCCCTCCCACGCGCGACCCACCTTCTCACGCGGACGACCGCGGTACATAGCAGGCTCGGTGGCAACGCCGGGAGCCCGCATGTTCTGTCATAGAGCTTCCGGTTGCGGGCCGAAGGCGGCAGCAAATCAGAAAAGCCTGTGAAGGTAGGTCCCGCCCTCAAGAAGAGGCTGACCAATAGGAAGGAAGGATGACACTAACCGCCTCAGGGAGCAGGCCCTGCCCCTCACTCAACTGCGGGAGCCCGGGGCCTTGGCTTCCTGCGGCGGAGGTGCTGAACCACCCCATCCAGTTTCCTCACCCAAGAGAGATGGTAAATTGTTGTTACGGACAAAATATTATTACGGACCTGAAGCACCACGTCCGGTTCTGTGCAGAGTGGGAATGGAACCCAGGGCCTCTCGCGTGCTAAGCAAGCACACTACCAAGCCCCAGGGTTTATTAATTTTACTAAACAATTTTGTAGTTTGGTTGATTGCTTTTGAGTTGTGTGAGCCAGGGTTTTGGTATGGTACTCAGGCTGGTCTCGAAACCCTGGACTCAAGAGCTACCTCCTGAGTAGCTGGAACTTCAGGTGGGCAACACTGCCAGCAGCTTTAACAAGATTCCAAGTTATGCTCATTTATTTTGGGTACATGTGTAAATCTATGTGAGCACATTCGCGTAGAGGTCAGAGGACAATTTAGGGGAAACAGTCTTTCCATCAAGTGGATACTGGGGATGAAATTTGGGTCATCTTGCTTGGCTGCAAGCACTTTTAACCCCCTTCAACCAGAATTTTTGAGGTTTGAATTCATCTATGTAAAATAGCCATATAAGTACAAGGGCTTCTGTGAGAAAGGACATGCATTCCTGCCACCCCTCTCTCCCTCCCTCCCCAGTAGGGAGTCTGGATTGACTCTTCAAACTGCCCACACTGAGGGCTGAGAGGCCTTTGGAGTGTATGTGTAGATGATCTGATTGTGCCCTGGGACTGTTGTGTGCTTGGGTATAGATAATATTATGTATATATACATATATACCAAGTTATTATATGTATGTCTAATATGGAGTCTTGTTTAAAATGCAGTTTTAAAAAACATTTTTTTTTTGTGATGATGAATAGACAATTTGCTAGAATCTCTATCATGTGGGTTCCAGGGATTGAACTCAAGCCATAGGACTTGGCAGCACTTTACTCACTGAGCCAGCTTGCCAGCCCCATAGTAACCATTTTAAAGACAAGTCTTGTGTAGCTTTGAGCTTGTATATAGCCAAATTTGACTTTGCACTGGGATCACAGGTCTGTGCCACCATGCATTACTTATGTGGGGGACAGAATCCAGGGCCTCTTCCATGGCAGGCAGGTACTCTACCCCAGTCCTTTTGTTTAGACAAGGTCTCACTATATTGCTTGCTCTAGCTGGCCTGGAACTCTTTATGTAAACGGCGCTGGCCTCTGTTTACTGCTCTAGTTGGTAGCATGAGCCTGTGAAAGCAGGGCCTCAAAATGAAGTGGAGAAAAGTCTCACACAATAGCCAACTTCATTCGGAACATCAGACAATTTATACTCTGAGGGTTAAAAATCATTATGAGTAAAGTGTTCAAGCACAAGGAGGCACATGAATTATAACAGCTGAAGTAAATCCACTCCTATCTGCCACACCTGGGAGGAGCTTGTACACACAGTCCAAGAACAAGTCTGTGTTCTGAAGACACTGAGGTCATGTCTTGCTGGGTCGTGGTGGCATTCGCCATTAATCCCAGCACTTGGGAGGCAGAGGCAGGCAGATCTCTTTGAGTTCAAGGTCAGCCTGATCTACATGATTAGTTCCAGGACAGTCAGGGCTACACAGAGAAACCCTGTCTTGAAAAAGCAACCCTCCCCCCACTCCCACCCCCACAAAAAAGGCTCATGTTGTGTTTTCTCACAAGCACTCTGGGTTCTTACACAACTATTTGTGCACTGTGTCCTGCCTGGCTTGGATCTCCCAGAGATCCGCTTCTGCTTCCCAAGTGCCGGAACTAAAGGCCTGCACCACCAGATTACTTTTAGGACAAGGTCTCATGTAGCCCAGGTTAGCCTCAAACTAGCTATGTAGCTAAGAAGCGGAAGAAGGAAGGAATAAAAAGGAAGTGAGCAGGGCCAGCACACGCCTCTCATTCCAGCACTCAAGAGGTGGAGGCAGCAGAGTGACCCTTGACGTGGCATAGCCTGGGCTGCAAGACCCTGTCTCCACAAAAACGGCAGAGACTTAACCCACACATGGAGTTTCAAGGTGATGCCTTTGGAAGGTGGGCTACCAGAGGTCACCCATACTGGTGACTTCACATGAAGTGAAAGAGGCAGAAGCAGGTACACCTCTTAGAGTTCAAGACCAGCCTGGTCCACCTGGCCTTTTCCATCCCAGCTAGGGAGAAGAATGAGAACCCTGTGTCTAAAAGAGTGTCTGTCAGGGTGTGTCCACATTGCCCATCTCCTGTCATGTGGTGATGTGCTGTACGTACTGGACTCCAGCAAGTGCTGAGTCTCTGAGCCTCCAGACCTGTGCACTAACCTGAATGAATCCTTCTTTATAAAGCTAGCCACTCTCAGGCATTTCACCACAGAACAGAAAATATAATACACCAGCCAAGGCAGAGGTTAGACCTGGGGAACCCTCTTGTTCCGGCTGTCTGGTGAGAGGTGATAGCATTTGTTTCTGTGACTCTTTAGACTAGAGCTTCTGTTTTAGTAGGCTCTGGCTGGATGAGACCAGAGGTCAGCTTCAGTTACTCCTACTTTGTCTTTACCTTTAATGGTTACATTTTTAAAAGATTTATTGTAGCTGGCTGTTGGTGGCCCACAAATGTGGGCCAGCACTGGGAATGCAGAGGTAGGTGTATCTCTGTGAGTTCAAGGCCAACCTGGTCTACTGAGCGAGTTCTAGGAGAGCCTCCAAAACTACAGAGAAACCCTGTTTCAGAAAACCAAAAAAAAAAAAAAAAAAAAAAAAAAAAAAATGTTATTATTGACTATGGATTTCTGACTGGCCTAAAACTTAACTATGTAGACCAAGCTCAAGCTGGCCTTGAACTCACTGAAATCCACCTACCTCTGCCTCCGGAGTGCTCTGATTAAAGGCCTGTGCTACCCATTTGTATATGTTTGTATATGTGTCTGTGTGTGGTTAAGTGCACTTGTGTGCAGTGCCAGCAAAAGCCAGAAGAGGGCATCAGACCTGAAACGAGTTAAAGGTGGTGTGAGCTGCCTGCCACACTGGGTGCTGGGAACTAAACTTGCTCTTGCTGGCACTGAATAACCATGCTATACTTTAATGAAGGCACAGCACTCATACACATAAAATTTTGAAATGAGTAAAGGCTTTAAATGAAAAAGTACCACAGGGCTTAAGATGTAGTTCAGTGGTAGAGTGCTTACCTAGCAAACATAGGTCTCTTAGTTCTCATTACCACCATTAAAAAAAAAAGTTCCAGATCAGTGATTCAGTGATGTGGCCATGTGGCTCACGTAATGTCATTTGCAACCAAGCCCCAAGGCCTGAGTCTGATTATTGGAACCCACATAGTGAAAAGGGATAACAGACCCCCGTGTGTGTCCTGGCTTGTGCTTGGGTGCACACGCACAAGTAAATGTAATAAAAACTTTAAGAACAAACAAGAAGAAGGCCAGGGGATAAGCCCGAGTAGTTGATTTCAGTAAATGCTTTCAGCAAGTCCTGTGTCCTGAGTCATTTGTATGTGGTATAGTATAAGTGTATCTTGCAGTCCTTGGAATAACCCTAGGAAAATAGTAGAGTGTTGGCAGACATCCTGGCAGCCAGAGGACCATAGTACATCACCAGCCGTGAGTCACAGTGATGTCACATGCTCTGGGTGTGATGCACACAGAAGGCACACTGTCACCTTTCTGGTATCCTTCCGGAAAAGCTTCTGTTGAATCAGGGCCAAATTATGAGACCATCTAAATTCAAAATCACTGCTGAGGGTCGGCATAGGAGTCAGGCTCATGACTGAGGGACAACTACTACTGGAGAATCTAAAGAGGTGTGAGACTAAATGCAGGGGTCTTGGTGTGGTCTCCTGACCTAGACAAAGAACACAAGTGGAAGAAAAAGAAAAAAAGCAAACATCTCCCAAACTTAATCTTCATGAAGCCTATAGCTCGTCAGATGGAGAAGTTTTTCTGGGCTGGCCATGGTGGTACACACCTGTAATCCCTAGAGTTAGGACTTTAAGCCAGGAGGCTTGTGAGTTTAAGGCCTGTCTGGACTACATAATGAGAGTCTCAACTAACTAACCAAACCAAAAAGTTAATTTATTTTTATAACAATCAACATTAGGGGCTGGAGTTAGGAGTACTTGCTGCTGTTGCAGAGTGTGAGTTCAGTTCCCAGGACCCATGTGGCAGCTCACAACCACCGGTAGTTACAACTCCAGCTCCAGGGGTTCCAACACCCATGAATACCTGCAGACATATACACACACTCATGTGCACATACAAACACATGTGAACATACATACATGAACGATTTTTTAAAATGTTAATATAACTTTAAAAAATGTTAACATAAGCAGCTGGGAATAAGTTCATAAGAGAACTCTGTAATTCGTCTCCAGCCTGGTCTATAGAAAAAGTCTTGAGACAGCTAGAGCTACACAGAGAAATCATGTCTCAAAAAACAAACAAAACCCAAAATGAAAATTACCGTTTTATATATGTGTGTGGTATATGTGTGGGTGTGTGTATGTTCCCCCATATGTGTGTGGGAGGCCAGAGGAGGGTCTCTGGTGTCTTCTTTTATTGCTCTCCATAGTATTCCCATAACATGGAGTCTCAGTGAACCTGGCTACTGTTGTAGGTAGGATGGCTTAATTAGGTAGCAGCCAAGACACATATAAATAAATAATAAACAAATTAATTAAATATTAAAAAGTTTAAAACAAGCAAACCTAAGAACTATTCCTATGCCCATTGCAGAAGGAAATTAAGGGGCAGAAAGGTGTCCAAAGTCATGTGTGGTGCTTATCTGTAGTGCCGTCACTCAGAAGAGTAAGGCCTAAGGGCCAAAAGCTTAATTTTATCCTTAGTTACATATTAAGTTCTTTAAAAAAAAAAGGTTTGAGTTTGTTATTTATTGATTTATTTATTGATCTACAGG